TTCAATGTAGTTTATTCAATGGAGCTTCTTTTTTCAATTTGCATCACCATTTCTATTTTAATGTAATTTATGTGCTTTGTCAGGAGGAAAATTGTGTATTTACATCAAAGTCATATATAGAGTTGATGAAGATACAGGTATACATGCATAAAACAGTCTTTACCAGCGAATTGTTTCAATATGAAAATTCTTTTCAAATCAATTTTAAAAAAAAACAATTGCATTAAAAAAAACCTTTAATATATTAAAATATTTCATATTACTGAGAGGTACAATGAAACATAAACTGAACCGCTCCAGCTTTGCTGTTGCTAAGAGAAGTATCTGGTTATAATATATATTGTCATCGGTTATTGTGGATCTGACATAGATGTTCAATCTTGCTTTTTGGCTTTGGTAGAATACACCACTGTTTGGCAGCTAGCAATACAAAAAGGTGTCATAAAAACCACAAAGATAAATGCAAAAGAAAAATGCCCCCGGCACAGTGGCTCAGTAGTTAGGACTGCTGCCTCACAGTGCCAGGGACCCGGGTTTGATTCCACGCTCAGGTGACTGTCTGTGTGGAGTTTGCACATTCTTCCCGTGTCTGCGAGGGTTTCCTCCAGGTGCTCCAATTTCCTTCCACTGTCCAAAGATGTGCAGGATAGGTGGATTGGCCATGCTAAATTGCCTGTAGTGTTCACGGATGTGCAGGTTAGGTGGTTTATAGGGAATGGGTCTGGGTGGGATGTTCTGAGCGGCAGTATGGACATGTTGGGCCGAAGGGCCTGTATCCACACTGTGGGGAATCTATGATGATCTATGATGAAAAGTTAGGGTGGCCCAACTGTAATGTGAAAAAAACCTCTCCCTCTTGTGATCTCCTGTATTATGTGTCAGGGTTTTGCATTAATTTGCAGAAGTCTCTATCAGTAGTTGTAATTAAGCAAAATTTGATCCTTGTTTCCAATGCTGCATCACCAGAAGAAGTGTCCTAGTGTAGTACTGAAAATGAATGAGAATACACTTCTTCCCATCCACCCTGGTGCATTATTACTTCAAGTCATGATCCTTTAATTTTTAAATTTAATGAATTATGAAGAACATTGGGTATAAGTGGTAGATTTACCCAGGGGCTAAGAAAATAGATCTGAAAGACAGTACTGCTTTGAAAGATGAGCCGGTTTTCTTACATCAATTTAAATTTAAGACAGTGTTAGAGGTGAAAATTAATAATTTGCTTTGTCCAACATTGGAGTTGTATTTTGGTACAATAAGTGAATAGAAATCCTATTGGCACAAATCTGTAGAAATTAAGGCAAAAAATATTGAAAACCCAACTAAATGACTTGGATAACCATTTATGACACAGAATTACATGTTGTCTTCAAAGGTTGAAGCCCTTGGGAAGAAATTTATTGAAACAACTAACTGCAGTGTGCAGAGATCAAAGCAGATATGAAAAGATAAGCTGACATTTCGGGTCGAGACCCTTCTTCAGAAAAGAAGAAGGGTCTTGACCTGAAACGTCAGCTTTCCTGCTCCTCTGATGCTGCTTGGCCTGCTGTGTTCATCCAGCTCTACACCTTCTTATCTCAGTTTCTCCAGCATCGGCAGTTCTTACTATCTCTGTGAAAAGATAATGCTACTTTCCCTGGGTTACAATTTTTCTGAAAATAAAATGCATTTAGATGTAAGGCTGGAAAAGGTGCAGAAGATAGCATCTGTTGAACAAGGTTTTATAACCTTACAGAGAAAAATATGTTAGAGGTTAACGGTAGAGCTTAGGGAAAGTGTCTGAAGATCAGAGTTGGGGATCTCTCCTCAGTTTCTAATCATAGCATAATAACATATACAGCACAAAAGGAAGCCATTTCATCTATTTTGCATTTGCTGGCTGCTTCAAATAACTATTCAATTTTATTTAGTCCCACTCCCCTGTTCCCTCTCCATATCCCTGCAACATTTCCCCTTCAAGTAATATGGTACTTCTTCAATCTATAGTGATTTATTTTGTTTACATTTGCTGGAGTTTTCAGATAAGATTGCCCAGTGCTCAACATGTCTGCTACTGTATTTTGTCTTATACATTGTTTTTTCCTGGCAAGAAATATCAGAAGGAATCTAACTCTGACCTTATCATTTATTCCAATGGGAACCTAAGATTTGCTGAAAGTCATGATTTTCAGGAACACAGCCACAACTGTAAGTGCAGACTTTCTGTAGGAGGAAGAATTGCTTTAAAATAAAATCTAAAGGATCTGATCAAGTGATCTAACTCATCAAATCTCACATTGGCCATTGCAAAATGAATTAAACTGTTTCTGCAGCAGGATGCTCTTAAAGTAAAAGTAATTATGAGGTTTAATTCTGTCTTCTTTCTTAAGTCTTCTGTTAATTAAGCAGTGATCAGTCAAACTATATATAGTGCCGAACAATGCTTTTGTTACCTCCAGACTTCACTATTTCAGTGCTTCCCTGACAGCCTGCTCATCTTTCTTCCTTCAGAAACTCAAAAGCATCTAAAATTCTTATCCCACTGCACAGGCTTGCCCGAGCCATTTGTTCGCCATCATTGTGCTCACTGAAATGCTTTGTAAATTGACACAAAGAACTTTCAATTTAAAATTCTTATCTGCAAGCTCAAATCCCACAGTGGCCTTTCACCTCAGTACTATTGTAACCTCCATCAGAATTACATCCTCTAGGAATTTGGCATTCCTCCAACTCTGGCCTCTTGGTGCATGGCCAACTTCCTTCATCCTCCACTGCTGCTGGCAGCATCATCAATTGTCTAGATCCCACCAACTAGTGTTCTCTGATCTCAAAGTCTTTATATTCCCTCTACCTCTCGACCTTTAAAATGAAACTCAAAACTTTTTGATCAAGTATGTGGTCACCTTAACATCACCTTTTATTGATTTGTGTCAGTTTTTCTGTAATTATACATCTGTGAAGCCCCATGGGACATTTGATTACGTTAAAGTTGCAATTTTAATGCAAACTGTTCGTACAATGTAACATTGCCAATAGAGGCTTCACTGTAGTTGAAATTAGCCTGGGCTGGTATATACCTACCTGAGAGGTGGTAATTCCTTGTGCAGCTGGCACTAATTGACATTAGCCAGTATTTGTATAGCTGAAATAGTAAGTTCAATTGTTCAACATTGCGTGAGGTGAGATGCGATGGCTATTGATACCTCTAAAGAAGTCATATGCAGAGATACAGAGACAATGCTATCAATATCATCACTACTAATCAGGCCATTGGACTTCTACAGATGCAATTCCAATAGCTGGACTTGTTAGGTAGCAACCTCCAACAGCTGCCTACAAGGTTCTGTGTTTTTGTGATTGCTTCCATAACATGGCTTTCCAGAGAGGCGTGGACCTTGGGGGCAGTAAGGCCAGTGAAGGAGACAGCTCACTGAGCGAGGAACAGGAGATAAGAGAAGAGGACGAAGACGCAGGAGATGATGTTGTATAGGCCCACTTGTGACAAAGTGATACTGTCCTACTCCTGGACCAGGATGTCCGGCATCAAGCCCCACCTGTTCCAGTGATGTGTAATAACATATCTGAACAGGTTAATTATATAAATAAGAAAAAAATAGTAAACCCTGACTATTCCCCCTCCGAGATACAGCCTCTACTGTACCAATGTACAGCCATTTCCCAACTCCATCAGTCAGCTTTATATGTTTAACTACATATGCAATGTGGTTCAGTGGTTAGCATAGTTGCCTCATGCCACCAGGGGAATGGATTCAATCCCAGCCTTGGGTGACTGCCTCTGTGGAGTTTGCTCGTTTTCCTTGTGTCTGTGTAGGTTTCCTCTGGGTGCTCCAATTTCCTCCCACAGTCCAAAGATGTGCAGGTTAGGTGGTTTGGCTATGCTAAATTACCTGTAGTGTCCAGAGATTTATAGGCTTGCCATGGTAAATAAGGCATTACAGGGATGGTTGGCGGTGTGGGTGGGATGCTTTTCGGTGTGTTGTTGCAATCTGAATGGGCTAAATGGCCTCTACCTCTACTGTTGGGATTCTATAAAAATGCAACCTATGCATGTCTCTTTGCATCACAGGATTGTTTCTGCTTGAAGTTATTCTGAAAATATGTTGAGGCTTTCAGCACTGTATGCATAGTACTGGAGATCCAATTGAGTGTAGTACTTTCCTCATGGTCATGACAAAATTATGAGTGGCAGTGTCTGTACTGGTTGGCAGAGACACCATTGCCTCCTAAAGTGTTGACCCTCTGGCAACAGCAGCACTGTCTCACAAATATTAATGCACTGCTGCCTTCCATTTCATTGAATTTGCAGAGATTTAAGGAAACCTCTTGTATATTCCAATAAAACTTTACATTGGATCCATGGGAGAAACATCCTGGAATATCAAATGTTCAGTTGTATTAATATCTGACAATGTTGTAATTAACCTGACAATCAGTTTAACAAAAAATTCTGGATAATATTTGGTAGCTAATTACATTAATCATCTGTATTGGTTTAATGATTGAATTGCACATCCATCCAATATTTGTCTGGCTGACAATATAACAGACCCAAATGCTCTCTTAAGCATTTTTCTGTGAATCAAATATTCAAAGATCTGTGCTACATTAGAACAACAGTACAGTTTCTTCAAAGAATACGCAAAGAAGCTTCTGTTTATTTTATACCCTTAACAAAGAAAAACACTGCAAATCAGAAGGAGAATTAAACTACAACACAAAAGAAGAAAAGGATTGTAGCTAGGGGAGAAAAAAACTCTGCTTGTTACTTGATTTAAAAATGTGGTGAGAGATTACATTTTTACATTGCAATATGGGGATTTTCCCAGCTCCCTGACATCTTAGACTCTCTGATCAGCAAGCTGGAGTGTAATTACAGTGGATAAGTTTAGGTATAACCCAGACTTGTACATTTTTGGTCTAGCTATATCTGATTTGTTGGCTGCTGTTGCTTTGTGCTTTGACGCTCTCCACAAGCCTGCTCAGTTTCTCCCTTCCCTCTGCTGCATGACATCACCGGCTTTAAATATTCCAGCTGCTTTTTTTTTCTCTCAGCGAGTTTGTGCTCCACACAATGACCATGTAGAGTGAGCAGAGGAAACTGCTCAGCTCCAGACTTCGCCACCCAGTTCCCCAGGACGTGGCTAAAGAAAGCATCTCACTGGAGAGAGAGACTCATATTACTACAGGCAGGCAGACCAAGAACAGCACTGTTTGAACAGGCTCAGAGGAGCAAGACGGAATCGCTTATCCGCTTAAGGAAGGTTTGCAGCAGCTGCTGTGAATTGAGACAGAGAAAACGAGCAAGTCTGTAAACTTGGGAGAAAAGTCCGAATCAGTGGACTGTTGGAAATCTTGAAATTCTTCATCATGGCTCTCTCGACCCCACAGAATGGAGTGGACGGACACAAGGATCCTTTGATAGAGTTGTTTGTTAAGGTAGGATATACCAGAATCTGACTCTTTATTCCAGAAACAGCCAGCATTCAGCTGTCTGAGAGGCACTTGGCTCTGCTTATACTCATTGCTTTTTCGCACCAAGATAAGTCTATTTCTATATTTAACCAAAACTAATGTTACCGCTGAACAAACGACAGTGGATAGTTGTGTATCAAAAATAGAACTGTGTTCCAAAGTATAACATTTTGTACTGAACCAGTTAAGAATTTATAATTTAATTCTATTTCTGGTCCGCCTTGTGTTGCTTTCAAGCTTCGTTACAATTGTGTGATATTCTCGAGCGTACGCGAAACAGTGCTGGGCAGTCAATATTTTAATGCATTTCTTCACAGCTGCCAACTCAGAGAAACAGTTAGATAGAGCACCGTTGTCTTTGTGACAGTTTCTTTTTGTGTAAAGTGGTGTTTAGAACTCATTGTTTTAAGTGTAATTCAAGCACTACTGTGAAACTTGTTCCCGCTTTGTGGAAGCAAGGGTCATTGATGGCGTGAGACCACTCCCCATTGACTAGAATTCCTTTTCCATAACTGAAGCCAGCTAAGATCGATATTAGACCAAACCTGCCAGCTGGAAGGTTGTGAAAACGAAACAGTTTCTTTGGGTAGGTACGAATTGATCCGCTCAGTAACTACAAGAAAATGCCCTGAGCTCAGTTAACCGCTTCCATGCACAAAGGCTATGACTTCAGATTACATTATCTCAGCAAAGAAATATGTTAATTTTTATATTGTCTGAGAGGGTTTTTGGGTGTGGTTTATGAAAAGTCTTATGATAGAATGGTTTCCAGCATGAGCACTCAAATTACCATTCATGGGGCGGTCATAACGGAACGATAAGCACAAATGTGGATTTTTTTCAATCACCCCCCACCCCAAAGCAGTGTTTTTTCTTTGAAATAACAAGGTGTGGAGCTGGATGAACACAGCAGGCCAAGCAGCATCAGAGGAGCAGGAAAGCTGACGTTTCGGGTCTGGACCCTTCTTCAGAAAGTTTGTTTTCCTCCCCACGTAAGTTAGGTCACGAAGTTCTTAGTGAATCATGATTCCAGTGATCTGTCTAAGGAAAATAGTTTATCCGGCAAACAGACAGAAATATCAGAATGATTACATGTAAACCCCCGCCCCCCCGCAAAAGAAAACCCACCCCTGTTAACTGTTCAATGGCTCAGGGATATATTGGCCAACGTGGGGCTGAAGAAAGCAGGCTGGGCTAGTCTAGGTCATGCGGAAATAGCTGATCAATTGGTATGTTGGCACAGAAGATGAAATTCCAGATAGATTTTGTTTTTGTTCCTCATCCATTCAGTGGCTACTGTGCATTTTGTGAGCATTGAGTGAGCTCAGATCTGGATGTAACGCAGGACTGCTGAATAGCTTGGCAACTCTCATTGATTATTGTTGCGCCGGATAAAATCATCAGGATGTCACACAGCCTTTTACAAGCAATGATGGTGTTGGCACATATGGAGTACAACTTCAGTCTCTTGTGATGCAACGTGGCAGAAGATTTCTGCACAGCAAGATTCCATAAGCAACAAATGAATGAAAATAACCAAACAAGCAGGGGCTGGGTATTTCCAGGCATCTGGGGTATATGAGGCTGACAGGTAAGTGGATACGGTGGGGAAGGAGATCCATAAGATGGCAAGGGAAGTTAGCAGGTAGGGTGCATGCCATTTTCCTACAACCATGCTATCTTACCAGAGGTAGTTGGCCCTCTCACCCAGAGACTAATTGAAATAATTAAGTGGCCAATTAATGGCTTTTCTCTGCCTCCATAACAGGATTGGGTGGGGGATAATGTGACATGTGAGGTGGGGTGGAAGGAGACTGCCAGGTAATCTCTGGTGGCCTCTGATGGACAGTGGTGAGAGAAATGGGACCTCCTTTTGGAATAGTCAATGGGCCAGAAAAGGGCCAATCCCTGCTGTCTGTCCTCACTAACTAACCCTGTTACCATCCCCTCCCCCGCCTCAACACCTGTCTAGGGTCTCCTTGACTGACCCCTGACTCTATCCCCCAAATGTTGTGATGATGCACCATCCTCCTCCAGGTTTACTCCCAGTGTTGACCACCATTCCTGGCAGTGCTGCTGAGCTGCTAGACCTATGATTGACCAGCAACACCTGGACCTGGGGTAATATTCCTTAATAAGAACAGCAACATGGGCAGCAGCTAATAGTTGGCTGTTCCTGGCACAATGCAGCCCCTTGCCCCATTGTCCATTGTCACCATAAGTTCACCCACTGTTATTTGATGGTGGTTTGAGGAAGGGATGGTTTCCAGGACAGGAGGACAAACTTTGACTATAATGCGATGGATGTCTTTTGAATTGGAGTAGGCAGACAGGACCTCAGATTTATGCCTCATCTCATAACTGGCACCTCAGATAATACAGCACCCCTTTATTACTTACTTCACAGACAAATTTGACTATATACTCAAGCTTCAGCCTATGATCTTCTGATCTAGTGGCAAGAGTGCTGCCAATGGACCCAAGCTAATTTTCTTCATTGTAAAACTGAATGTGATTTTTGTTGTTCTCATCAACACTTCCATCACTCTGATGTTTCTCTTCAAACTGAGCTACCTCTTCTTTTCAAAACTTATGTTATATATAGTTATTTTCTTGCCATCTCTACAACTGTTTCCAAGTCTCTCCCTCTCTCTGCTGCAGCTGAAACCATTGTCCATGTTCTTGTCCCTTTGATGCCCAGCTTAACACTGTCTAAGCCAACTCCCTCATGCCAAATGTTCACAAATGATAACTCATTTGGAATACTACTGCAGGTCTCTTCATCTATGTAAGTCTTGTAGTTCTATGTACATTTTCAGTTTGATTGATTTACATAGAGACAGAGTCATTCAGCAAAAGTGACTTCAAGGTACTCTATTCAAAGAGTCATCGAGTCATTCAGCATGGAAACAGACCTTTTGGTCCAACTGGTCCACGCCAACCATGTTCCCAAACTAAACTAGTCCCACCTGTCTGCGTTTGGCCCATTTGCCTCTGAACCTTTCCTATTCATTTACTTATCCAAATGTCTTTTAAATATTGTAACTGTACCTGCATCCACCACTTCCTCTGGCAGTTCATTCCACACATGAACCACTCTCTGTGTAAAAAAAGTTGCTCCTCATGTCCTTTTTCAATCTTTCTCTTGTCACTTAAAAATCGGCACCCTAGCTTTGAACTCCTCCATCCTTATCTATGCCCCTCGTGACGTTATAAACTTCTGTAAGGTCACCCCTCAACCTTCCACGCTACAGTGAAAATAATCCCAGCCTATCCAGCCTATTTTTATAACTCAAACCCTTCATTCCTGGCAACATCCTGGTAAATCTTTTCTGAACCCCCTTTTGAGAGTTATTTTTATTTCCTGAGACACATGTAGGCCAAACTGGGCAAAGACGGCAGACTCCTTTCATTTTCAAAGCTTGGATCATCTCACATTGCCCCAGCTTGGTACAGACACCAGCAAGTTAAGGCACTGCTTGTCGACATCGTTAATCATTTGTGCTGCATTTCTACTGCTTCACTATCAAATAGTTTGCTTTCGGGTGCTCCATCTCTGTCTTGTGAGACTTCCTCCCTTGATTCGCTTCACTTCGCTATTTCGTCTCACCAAACAGTGACTGACTCAAAGCCTTTAACCATCCTTTGAACAACTTTGTGAGGTTTTATTGCATCTGACTAAATAATATTTTAACATTTTTAATTGAAGACGTAATGAGGTGAATTCAGTTAGTTTGACAAGAAGCCTGTAACATCCTTTCATTAATAAAATAGTAAGTTAGAGAAATGCTATGTAATGCATTTTAATCATGGTGACATCCGTTCTTTTAAGAAGAATGCTAATGAGCACTACTTAGGATTTGCAATGTTGATACTATACTCTCTGAATCAGTGAGATTTCTTCAGTCTGTGAATGGTTACCAAAAGCTTAATTTCTTTTAATGTGAATAAGAAGTTTGAAATTCATCTTGTCACATCCTCAACAGAAGTCCAGGCAGAATAGAAAGCCTAATATAAACCTGAATGAATAAAAACGAGGTTGATATTCACGACCTTCATCATCACTTTAGAAATGGCTACTTATCAAAGTTTAAAATGTACTTTATTGATTAGGGAGCCTGGACAACATGTCTGCATACTAATGAATAATCTGTAATACCGTTGTGTCAGTGAATACAACAAGCAGAAATATGCATTCTTTGAATTTAGCTTCTGGTTTTCAAATAATGTTTTATTTGAGGAAAATAAAAATTGCAATGATAAAAACACTGCAGCCTTGAAAAGACTGAGTTCTAATTCATAAATAGAAAGGGAACTGCACGTCCTTCAAATACTGACCCAACACATTTTCACTGATATGCCACTTTCTTGCTTTTTAATTTTTGTTCTGCCTGTCACAGGCATGCCAATATTCTCTTGGCCTTGCCACAGTTACTGTTAATGTCAGATAACATTATATCTGCCTGCTCAGGTGCAAAAGATCTTACAGCATTATTTGCAAAGCATAGGAGTTTCCTCAAGTGTCCAGAACAACACTGATTTATCAACCAATCCAACTAAAACAGAATCTCCAGTCCTTTTCATGTTGCTTTTTGTGGGACTTTACTGTATGTAAATTAGCTGCCACGTTGCTATGTTGCAAGAAATTATTTTACATCAAAAGTATTTCATTGTTAAAACACATTGGGGTATCTTATAGCCATGAAAGATGCCATCTAAATGTGAATTCATTCTTTAGAAATAGAACCTGAACTGAAAATCTGAAGAAGGACTAAGGAATTTAAGTAGAAAGGATATTGAAATGTATTTTTTTTAAAAATTATGTTTGCCTGTGCAATGCAAATAGGAGAAAATGCCACACCTTTGTGCTGGCAGAGACTGAGCACATTCACAGGTGAAAGGAGACTCAAGGGCATTGCATCTTGGTGAAAAATTAAAAGATCATGTCAGGCATGAGATGGTGA